GCTCTCTAAAGAAGATACTGACTGGTGGGGTTAGAGCTCAGTGCAAGACATCTCCCTGTAAGCTGCATTTAGATGCCTTTAGGCACTTCAAATCCCACTCCGATCTTCTATGCAATCTATATTTTCATTCTAGGAACTGAACAGATCTGTGCTCTATCCATACAGAAATGCAAACATTCCCCATTTGATATTGATGAAATGTTTTTATTCAGCGTTTGAGTGATTTGGTGTTCTGTCTTTGCTATTTGTTCTCTGTAATGGAGGAGAGGCAAAACTTACCTACTTGGTCAGGAGTCTCCCTGACCAAGTAGGTAATGTAGTGTTTTGTAGTAGTGTATTGGACTGGAGGAGTCTTCTCTAGCCTGCCTGCATATGATGCCAAAGCACTTTGGGAGGAAGTGATCCTTTTGAGAACTCTTTTTTATATATTATCTAAGGAATAAAGCCAGAATATACCAAATTTCAGGAGAATACTGTACACACGGAATAAAATACCTTCTGAAACTTTCCACTGATGATCCTGGATCCTCTACAATCCATGGCAAGTGTATTAGCTTTTTCATGTGTTAAAAAAAATAAAATAGGAGCATTTCTTTTTCTTCAGTTGCACTAAATGTCATCTATCACTGTATTTGGCCATGTGCTTCACTCATCTGCTGTGCACTCAGTGTACACTTAGATCAACTTCTTTCTTTAACTTGTTATTAGAAATAGAAGGAAATCTGTTTTCAGGATGTTAATTGTCCTTATGGGTTTGTAAAGCACTGAGCTGACCAATCTGTTAAAAAGACTGTGCATGCATGTAGAATTAGACTCTTACCGCTTTTTAAGATAACTTTTTTAAGGTCCTTGGCTGTGGGTCAGGGCAATCTAGGTGCTTCTGTAACTGATATGTTTGCAAGGCTTTAAGAATAACAGTCCTTAAATCAGTTGCCTAAATTTCATTTATGTCCCAGTGAAATTGTAAAGGATTTGGTCTTTAGAGATATTTAGATTTCTGTTCCTCACACTGTGATAAGTGGGAGATGGTCACTGCATCAGATGTAGGAATCTGGCACTGTGGAACCACTCTGAAGTGGGCAGGAGCAGCTCCATGAAATTCCAGGAGATGCAGCACCCCAAGCACTTGGCTGTAGCAAAGCTGCTTGGAGGCACATCTTAGTTTAGTGCTTTATTTGTTTTTAAGTTTTGGCAATTATATTTAAGCAGAAGTTTACAGATGCTTAATATCTGTGGAGTTTTCTAGCTTTTACAAGCATTAGGAGTTTAATTCCATCAGAGCCACATTAATATAATGAAAACCACATTAATATAATGAATTAAACATCAGTTCTTTCATGAATTAAGTAAAAAAGCACCCAGCCAAAACACAAAACAACAACAAAAACACACAGACAAAAATCCCCCAAAAAAATCCCCAGCTGAAAAGCTCTTAAGTTGAAACCCATAAGAGGATGCAAGTGAATCACTTCTTGCAGAGTGACAGTCCTTTTTATCAGTGCAAGATATATTCAACAGAAGGTTTGGATACATGTGACAGAGAATCAGATCTTGATGTATACGGGAAAAAAGGAGATAGCAAATCTATTTGCAGAAATATTGTCTCTGTACCCTTTTAAGTATTTAATGCATTTAATGCTTTTTGATATAGTCCCAACATGTTGAACAAGTCTTTTTAAGTTTTAAGCATAACATTCAGTTGATGTGGAATGAAAATCTCCCTGGAAAAAGTTATTTAAATGTAGATATTTACATTATATGAGTTAGCAGTATTTTGTAAGTTATTGTCTTTTACAGCAAAGAAAAAAATAGATCAGTTTACTTATACAAGTTACATTACTGAAATGATAACTTATATTTCCTATATTTTTTAGTTTTTAAAAAGATGAACATTCTTAAAATAGTTGAAAGTAATTTCTGCTTCAGATTTTAGGTATCTTTCATCTGAATTTCTGTATTTTTACATTAAGATACCTAGGTTTCAGCTGCTTTTAGTCATCAAAGCTAAACAGTATTTAAGTGAAGTATTTGTAATAACCGTACATAAAGCCTCTGTTATTTTTAACATCTAAGCTGGTATTTTCCTTTCTGAACTCCCCCTTTTAATTCATGTATTCTAATTACAAAGGTAAGTAGAACATCCTTATAAAAGAGAAGCAGGCATTTCTCTGGAACTGGTAATTATACCTTCTAATAAATTAACACAAAAATCTTTCTTTAGTTTTTTCTTTAGTAGTAATAGCACAAATTATAAAGATCAAATAAGGACATTATAAAGATCCAGATAAGGACATTTAAATATAACAGAGATATAACTCAGTTGAATTTGAACCAACAAAGAGAAAAAAAAACAGGCCAACCACAGAAATTCAGATCAAGTTCTCACCTGTGTAGAAGTAAATGTGTAATGCTGTATCTAGTGAGTAGAGATATGGGAAGATCTTTCTAAGGCTGGGATGCAGGATAAGATAATGCATAATGTGTAGTCCATTGCTGCTATCCATAATGCATAGTCTATGAGCCCTGTACAATAAATAAAGCTTCTGTTGAATATATCTGCACAATATAATCAAATATATGTATATGCTGAAAAGTGTTGTCCTAGTACTTAATGTTGAGGGCAACAAATTAAAGTGAGACTGTGGCCTGCTGTGAGATTATTCTGTGTAGTGGTAGCCTCACCTCCTGAAGTGGAGACTCCTTAGGAGAGTTTATATGGCTGCAGCTCTCAGCCTGGAATGCTGTCCCACAAGAGGGGCTCTCCTGGGAGCTCTCTGAAGCCTGATTTATTCTGCAGAGGAGGCCACTGGGGAAGGAAGGACGTGTAGGATTTTTCTGACACATCATAGGAGGAGGTTAAGTAACTGTGAGCTGCACTTCACTTCTTACTAAAGAATTAAAGGGAAGAACATTAACAATTTAGGGGTCCTTTATGTGGATATTTTATGTCTGGACTTCTTGAAAAAAGCTTTAAGGAAAGGTAGAGTCAGTTATCAGATACTAATAGAATTCTATTTTTTTGTGCAAGTTATCATGCCTGCTTTGATAAATAAATCCTCTGAATTCAGAGCTAAGTCTTCTGAAAGGGTTTTATAATGATATGATTTAAACATTTTAAGTTTTCTGACCTACATTAGTCATATATTAAAATTTCAGGTATTTTTTGTTATTTTACTATCTTAAAGTATTTTCCAAACTAATAAAACATAAATTGTAAAACTACAAGAACTTTATTTAAAAAAGATATATTGAAGGGTTTTGCTGAGAGCAAAATAATTTAATTTAGAAACAAGCATTCTTTTCATGAAGATTTTAGAGTAGATGTGTAAAAGGCAAACTGTGGCCAAATCAGTGCCCTTATCTTTTTTGTAAATATAGTTGCATAAGAGAAATATGCCACCCATTTTATTGTGTGACAAATGTATTGCTTCATTCTGCAAAGTTTTAATTTTAAGCACAGTGGCAGTTTCAATTAAACCTTTAAGATTATACATATAAATGTTCAAAGACATAGAAATCCTTGTGATATTGAGGACAACTGAGTAAGCTGAGAGTCTGTTTAAGAAACTGGTAAACAAAAATGTTTATTACCTAGCCGATTAATTTATTACAGCTGCTTGTTCTCTATTTTAAAAACTTTCATCCAACTGAAAGCTGAACGACCTGAACTTATTTTCCTAAAAATAGAAGACTTATGTATTCAAAAATGCTTTGTTAATTTAGCCTGTAATGATAATGGTGTAGATGATGATGATATGACATAAAGGGAAGAGAAATATCTTCATTTCTTTTGAGGAAATCTATATTTAAATTTTTTTCATATCCACTAAAAAATTCAATTTTTATTGGACTATTATTTTTCTACCTGAATCAATTATCTTCCCATAGGAAGTGCTTTTTCAAGCCTAAGATAAATCATGGATGAAATCCTAGATCAAATTAAGCATGTTCTGTTTCCAGACAGAAAAAAATCATCTCCATTGATCTAAACTTTTATATAGTATGATGTAAAATAGGATTAATGACAATATTTAAAAGGAAACACTAAAGTAGTTATACTCGCGTTGTTCATGGTTCAAGAGAAATCAGCTGAGTAGCCACCTAATGTGGAAGAAGTTCAGGTGATTGACTTCCTTGTTTGACTGAAAGCTCTCTAAGCCCTGCAGCCCTACTCTGTAGGTGCATAGGATGTCCCTGATGTGATGAATTAAAATCCAACCTCGCTGAAATCTGCCAGCAGTCCAGCAGTTTAGCAGAGGAATGATCATCTCTGCAGCAGAGCCTCATCCATCAGGCACGCTCCAGTCTTGGCTAGGGTGGCCTGCCAGGGAGGGTTTCACAGAACAAACCTGCAGCCCTGACAGTTTGACATTGGAGGAAGGAAGGAAGGAAGGAAGCAAGCAAGCTTGCTTTCTGGAGAAAATGGGATACTGGGGAGAGGGGGCGGTGGGGCAAGTCTACACCTCTAAACACCACTCTAAAACTGTTGGTATCCACTTCACACCTCTTCTCTTGCCTGTTTGCCACATTCCATAAGATACCCAAAGCTCATGGAGGGGAGTTGCCAAGCAAACATGACTTTGTAGCCTACTAGCTAGAAACACACATAGCCATGATATTGCATTTTCCTATCTTTGGTGCTTGTGATAAGCATCGTGCCTATGTGAAAATAGCAGTACACATCTGGAAACAGCTGCTAGAGCATGTTCTTGTGAGATCATAATATCAAGATGTCTCCTGCATGGATATGGTTGGCTGAGCACGGGTATTTCTCAATGATGACATTAATGAAGATGTGAGAGATATTTGGCACCTGATCTGTAATGTTCAGTATGAGAGAGCTCACAGAGAAGTTTCAGACACGTACAGCAGATGTTGTGTCATAATACAGAAACTCCTATAATGGCTGAGTCCATTTTGGGTGAGGCCACAGCTTCTTCTGGTTTTCTTATTGCTCTGAGATTTTTAACAAAGTAGTGAAATAACACTTCTCTTTTCAGTGTTCTGTTTCCTGTGGAAAAGGTTTGAAGTTTCGTGATGTGCATTGCATTAACAGCTTCCAAACAAAAATAGAAGAGGACAACTGCAAACATTTGAGAAAACCACGAACACACAAAATATGTAGAGCTGGAAGATGTCCTTCTTGGAAGGCCAGCAGATGGAAAGAGGTATGTAAAAGCTTCCATAATTATGGTCTCCATGAAAATACAAGACAATATCATATTCATGACACATTGCTTCACTGGGAAAAATTGTGAGTGCACACATTGCAATGAAATTTACAAATTAGCAAGTACTTAATTGTATTTTCTTTTTCTTTCTTTTAAGAGTAATGAAAAATAAATGTATGTGAAAACTGAAATTATTAGCTAATCTCAATTTTGTACTGAATAGCTACTTAGGACTTTCCTCATCTTACCTGGTATATTAACAATGAATTTTAAAGCTTACTTCTTACCTTCTGCAATGAATTCAGTAATATCACTATTTGCTATCTTAGTCTGCATAGTGATATGGAGCCAAGTTTGTGGGAAAAGGACAAGAAAAAGGGCTTTTGGGCACAATACTGGCCTTTTCCCTGGTTTGGTCTTATGAAATATCTGTCACCTTGTTGTAAAATTGTGTGTAACTGAGCACATTGCAATATTTTTTATTTCACTCACTCTTTCAACACAAGATTCCCCACCATGGACACAGTACCGCTCTCCACATTTTGGCCAGGCTTGATAGAACAATACGAACTTTATGATTGAGCTTGGGCGTTTAGGTGGGCTTTGGGACGTAATTATCTGGGGTAAAAGGGAATTAGATTTATCTCAGCAGGCATTAATGGGATGGTGAAATTCCTTTGGCCAAGAAGATGGTAAAGAGGCATTTGGTATTTAAGCTCTTCAGGGTTCAAAATTGTTAGTACTACCTGCAAAAAATAGTGTCCTCAGAATATTACACTTTTTGCAAGATTTTCTAACCTGAAACACTGAGATTTTTTGTCTTTTATTGTAGTATTTGTATTTTAAAACAGACGAGACTGTCAGTCTCTAATAAAGATAAGATGTAAACTTAGAGCTTCAATCATTGATCTTGCAAAAATGTAAACTTCTGCTTTGCATGTCTATAGTGATCGTCCCTACCGTGAATTAAGGTAGGCAGAGAGCTCAGTTAGGTACCTCAGATGCAATTATTTTCTGTATTTTTAAAATGTTTAATTATAGTTTTGCATTTTCACCATAAATTTCTTCAGGTATTGTACTCATATCACAAAGGCTGTGAAGCTTATTTGAAATAATATCCTAAGAACTTCTAATGACAGCAGTACTCCCTCTGGGGACAGTGTCGTTTCACAGTGACACAGCTGATTTTGGTCACTTTTAGTGCTCTGCATCCTGTGGAGTAGGGGTTCAGCAAAGGGACATCTCCTGCCAGGTGTCAGGCCTGGCGCGGGTGAGTGACGCCCTGTGCAGCCGCGACCGGCGCCCCGCCAGCACGAGGCGCTGCCAGCGGCCCCCCTGCCCGCAGCACCACTGGCTGGCACAGCGATGGGGAAATGTAAGTAAGGCTTCTAACCTCTGTGACTTCATTGGGTTCTCTAATATGGCATTATAAGTTTGGTTTCTGTTCTTTTTAATTATTTTTCCCCCCCACATTTGGATGTATTTCTAGTAGCTGTTATGTAGCAGAATAACAAATGACCATGCTGGAAATTTTGAAGGTCAGGCTTGCAAAACTTCAAAAGTGCCAAAAAATGTTAAAGACTTTATTTATACTCCCTTTTTATAGTCTCTACAGGATTTGCTTGTCTAGTTGTAGACAAAAGCTCTGGTAGAGTTCTGAGCAGGTATTTATTGATAGGACTATCTCTGCATACTTTTCAATAAAGTGCATAAGATGTATAATAGATCCTTATTATGAAATATCTTCTTAAAAAGCAGCTTTTTAAGAACAGAAATGCAGAAGAAATGTCATGTGGAAGTAAATACCATGGAGGTAAAATCTTTGGACAACAGTGTTTATAAGAAGTTCTGTATGGAAGATTTAAAACATCTTAAAAACATGAAGCATCTTTTCTTGTTAGAGAAAAGATAAGAAGCAAAATAAATCTCATTATACTCCTACCAAAGAGGAAGCAAGATAAGGAAAAAAACCTCAGCATTCTCTTACTAAATATGCTTTTTCATATTTAAAAAAATTTACAGATACTTTCAGGAAAGAGCTGTCATTTCTAAAGGTGTAATTACTATTTTCTACATGCAAAAAATTTAATAACTTTTGTTATTTTTGCAAACACGCAAACACATAAAGCTGCAGAACAGAAAAAAACCCCAAAATTATGTATAATACCTGGAATGGTGTGCAGAAGAGACTTTCTCCGACATTAAAAAAAACATTTTTTGCATTTGTGTCATATTAATAATCTGGCATGCTACATTTTCAAGGCTCTCCCTCTCCCTGTTCATCTCCCTCTCCCTCTTGTTCTGTTTTCAAGATCAACTTGTTTTGTTTTCAGGACCAACTTACTCCTTTCATATTTCACTGAAATCCTTTTCTGTCTCTTTCCTTCTCATATGGAAGGGTTTTTACACTCAACCTGTTATCTTGGCTTGATCTTTTCACTTTCTCCTCTGTCTCACCCAACAGTTACTGTGTCATTGTTACTCTATGCAGTTTTTTGGTTTTTTTCCCAGCTGATTAGAAGTACTTTGAAAACAAACTAAAATACTCTGATTCAGTGAATAATTTAGTCTGACATTGATAGCAGATGTCAAAAGGTATTGCTGTCTGGGTTTTAGTGATGTGTGCCAATCAGTAGGTAACTTCATTCTGTACATGTCTAGTTGAACTGTGATTAATTTTCTCACTTTTAGTGTTCAGCATCATCTAGAAGAAAGGAGATCTACAGGAAAGTAAAATGTGTGAATGAAAACCAGCTCCAAGTCGATGACAGTTTCTGCGATCCTGCCACAAAGCCTCCATCATCCAAAACCTGTGGAGTATCTCCCTCTAAATATGTTGTGCTCACAGGAGAACTGTCACAGGTACACTAATACATTGTACTGCTCACACATCTCTTATATATCTTTACATTTAAGAATGTTGTATTGCTGTGAAATGTAGGTTACGTGTGTAGAGAAGTTTATTTGCATTTGAACATGTCTAAACTTTCTCCACATTGACCTTCCAAGTCAACCATGACTTATTGTGGAGGCTGTTATGAGTCCTCCCTTAACCACCCAGGACCTATGATCACAAACTAGAGAGCTGCCCCTACAGCAGGATTCCTTTGCTGGTTCCTAGGAAACTCTCTTGCAAACTGACCTTGCTGAAGTAACCAAAAAGCTTTCCTTGATTTCTGTGAAGTGCTTGATCAGTGCTTTGTTTCCCTTGCACATCTGCACTGCCTGTGTGTGCATGTCTGTGCATGGGTCACAGCTGAGAGGGAATGACTGTCTGTGCATGGGTCACAGCTGAGAGGGAATGGCTCTGGAGCCTCTGAGAAAAGTGCACCATGGTGCTTTGTGGCTCCTTGCACATGTAACAATTGCAGACCTTCACTTCTGTGCACTGCTGTTCCAGCCCAAGGTGGCACACCTCCAGTGAGAGGCTTTGCCAGAGCAAGGCTCAGAGCTGACATACCCGTAATGCAATTCTGCAGAAACGTCCCAGAACCTTTCACAGCAATGATGTCTGTGCTTGGGGATTTTGTTTCAGTGCTCAGAGAGCTGTGGGTTTGGTCAGCAGCAGAGGATCCCCTACTGTGTTGGAGTCCACTCTGTGCAAAGGCGGCGCATGCGCGGCCTTCGGGCTGTAGCGTACCCAGCGTGCCCGGTACAGCCATCCCCCTACATTTACAGATGCAACCTCAAAGGATGCTCACAAGCAGCTACCTGGACAGTGGGGAAGTGGACCAAAGTGAGTACAGACCTGCCAGCTCATTTTTATAGCTGCCTCTAGCATGAATAAATGCCAAGAATAACTTGCTGACGTAATGATGCTAATTATTTGCTTCTTTCTAAACTGAGTCTTAATGGTTATCTATGTCTAGTGCTCAGCATCTTGTGGAGTGGGGATAAAGCAGAGGACAGTTGAGTGTATGACTGAAAATGGCTTATCTAGTGACTTGTGCCTGCCCCATTTTAAACCAGCTGCCAGAAAGATCTGCCATGAGAAAGAATGTAAGTGATAGCTGTGATTTTATGCAGTTAATGTTTTCCCAGGTTACTTATATTAAAGCTATAAATATATTTGGAATGCAATTATGGAAAATTAAGTCCTAAAAGTAAGCTCTGTTCCTGAAATATTAATATGATTTAATCATTCATTTTGAAGGTGAAATTCTTACCACCTGCAAAGATATGCAGATTAAAAAAGGGATGAGAAGGGATGGTGAATACCTACTTAACATTAAGGGAAGAATGATAAAGGTACTGTTAATATTTATGAGTTTTTATTAGTACATATTTTATGAAACAACTTTTTTCTAATAAAAATTTTGCTAAAGGGTTGCATTTTCTCTCCCAGATTTATTGCTCAGGCATGAATTTAGAGAACCCCAGAGAATATTTGACATTGGTAAAAGGTGAAGCAGAAAACTTTTCTGAAGTATATGGATACAGGTACAGAAGTGGTTTTGTAATGTTATGAAGTGCATTTATTCCTTCCAAAGTAAGATAATAAAATAATACTTACTTTTTGTGAGAAATTAGAGTAGGATTTTTTTTTTGTTGATTTTCTGTTTTAAATATCCAGGCATGTGAGCACACTACAGAAATATGGATACTTCCAGCCTGAAATTACGTTAGTTGTAGTAAATGATTATAATTATTTTCTGTCTTGACTTTGGTAGAAATGACTTTGGTCCACATTAGCATTTCAGTTAAGCCAAGATTAAAAGCTGAGCTTGTTGTTCAGTAAAGGTTGTTTAGTATTTTTATGTGGCATAGTGCAGTACACTTATTTTTCACTATGATACTAAGAAAAAAATCTCAAAATGAAAACTAAATATTTGCTGTTCTTTAGGTTGCAGAACCCATATGAATGTCCCTTCAATGGAAGCAGAAGGCAAGACTGTGCCTGTCGAAATGATTACCTTGCAGCTGGCTTCACGATTTTTAGCAAAATAAGATTTGATGTGGCATCTATGCAAATTAAAAGTAAGCATTTTGTTAGTTTCGGCCAATTTGAGCATTTTATTGAAATTGTATGTGGTCATAATTGCCAAAATATATTTTGATCCACTTACAGATCCAGCTGTGCCATCTTGGGGCAAACAAAATTCTTATTTAATTTAAGAATTCAATGTCAAAAATAAAAAAATAAAGAACACCACTAGTTACCTTGTAAATTTGTCCCAAGTGGTCAAGTGGCATGAATCTCACAGGTTCATATTTTGTATGTGAACTGCCTTCATTTTCTAAGGTTTTGTTCCCATTATTTCATTTTATTTTAATCCACAGCATTTTGTTTTCCTGTGGAAGTCTTTGATTCAGCATTTTGTTTTCCTGTGGAAGTCTTTGATTCTGTGCTCTGCTTAGTCCCTTCTCAGACCTTGGCAGACACTAAATAAATGGACAAGGAGTCTTGCAGTGCTTTAAGCCCCTGCCTGATGCTGGCAAGTTGGCCCAGCTCCCTTGGTGCAATGTCCAGGTGCACATCCATCTTCCTCCTAACCCACTCACATCTCAGAGAGAAATCTGGCCTTGTAGGTTGGACTAGGAGTGCAATAACCAAAATTCAAATCATTGTTTCTCAAATCAAAACACACAACCTTCCTTTCCAAGGGAACAACAAAGAAAAAAACCCCTCACAATGCAAAAGATAAAACACCCATGTTCACACTTTTCCCTGTTTCCCCCTGAACTTCAAATGCAGCAGTTAGTGTTGAGTAACTTTCTGTTTTCTAGCTACAGATTTTCTTTTTGCTCAGACTATACTGGGGAGAGCAGTACCATTTGCTACAGCTGGAGATTGCTACAGTGCCGCCAGATGTCCACAGGTATTTATGGTTTCTTGCTCCCTTGAAATGTTTTACATAAGAGGAGGGAAAAAATATGTGTGACTTGTTTAGATCTGTAAGGTTCAAAACCAATCTCCTATTCTGTGAGGTCAGTGTACAACATTAATAAGTATTTTTCTTCTTACTCTCTTCTCTCCTGTTCCACCATCCCCCCTCTCACAGTTTTTCCCTCAAATTGTTTATTACACCCTTTCCCTGTAGACTCCATGTATGTGTCTCCAGCTTTCTGTGTGTTTCATGTACTGCTCTGCCTCTCTCTGGATTTGATGTATCCTTTGTTTCCCCTAATGCTTTCTCAGTCTTTGTTCTCCTCTAGTGACTTTTCTATAATCCTGCATAATTTTCCTAATCTTTTCTTTGTTTCTCTCCTGACGCTTCATGTCTTTGAAGACTACCAGAGGAAATAAATTTTTTTAGCAGTTTACTTTAAAATTTCCGCATGCATTGTTGTGTCTACATTAGTGTTCTAGTTTTATTGGATGGTGTTTTTTAGATTAATCTCTATATTGTCGAGTTTTCTGTTTGCTGTTTCACATCACAGAGTAGTTTGGAAAAACATGAACAGGATCCCTTTTGGATTAAGCTAAAGGCAGCAATGAGCTTCAGAGGAGGGATCTTAATATACTCTAATGCTATTGAGGATTGGGACTAGGGGAGAGTTAGTCCAAAATAAATCCCTTATTGGTGCACTGTCTACAGACTTGGGCTCTCTGGGCCAATTTTTGCTTTACAGGTCTGCTTATACTGCTTTGCCCTTCTTGATGATGCAGACACAGCCCAACTAGTCAACCTTCGCAGCCCCCCTGGCAGAAACAGGATTCCTTAGAAAACACTTCAGCTTACCTTACACTATTAGACAATTTAGGATGAGGTCAGCTGTCCTCTGGAAGTGAATTTCTTTTCACTGGTTATAAAGGAATTAAGACCAAGTGCCTCATGCTTGCTTGGAAGTTGCACTGTTGTCCATCTCTTCTGGTTGCCTAAACTTAGGACCAGCTGTGGGTGGGCACAGCCAAGGGCAGCTAGAGAAAATTCATGTGCAATTTACTGCAATTCATGGCAGACTTAAATTCCTGATAAGAAAACAGTTGAAGTTCATTACAGTGTTGGATGCCTTCAACCTGCAAGTGCTTTGGGTGCACCATGATACAAATCTGTTTGCTGCTGTGTGTAGCCTCTGTTGGGAGGTCATTCTGCTTACATGGCTTGGCACTGACACATTTATTTCCATCTAAAAGTTCTGACTGAAGCTGCCACTTTTGATGCAGTCAAAAGGTTTCCATTCCTGTGGTTTTAGTCCTTAAATCTTGCACATGCTGCATGATACATCAGACAGCTATTGAGCTGTAATTGTAATAGCGTTTCTCATTTATTTTTGCAAAATGATGTCACTGTGAAAGTTACTCTGGGACTGTTAATTATGGAAATCAGTCCATACCATTTGTATGAATTTCCTCCTTCATTAAATGGAAGTCTTTCACTTTGAGGACAGTTGAAGAACATCCTACCCTATCCATATGAGTTTTTATTAGCTCATCTCGAGTTACATGAGTGCTATAAGCACAGCATCTTTACATAGAAGTGCTCTCAAAATAAATCTGCCACGCTGAGCAATATAACTGAATTTTTGCAACAGAATTTAAATGAATCATTATAATAAAAGCTATATATATTTATATATGTATGACATTATTAAGCAATAAAACACAGAAGCTACCATTTGCAATAAAAAATTACTAGGTCTGAATACAGAAATCCAGGCTTTCAGTGAATAATGCAGAGGTGTGCAGTTTTCTGATTGTAGTGCTGCCTGAACTAATCATTAGGCTCTTTGTGGGGGCAGTACTTCTTTGTAACAAATTGCACTTCTCTGTGAATGCAATTTAATAATTTTCTGTATCCCAGTTTGTTTACCAAGGTAGTGCAATTTGTTATTTTTAATATATTTCCTATTCTCATAGGAACTGACTGAAGCTAGTTTTGAGAGTCTATATTTGTGTAGGAAAATGTTTTAGAATCAATAGCTTCTATATCTGTTGTGAATGGTTTATATTGCAAAACATTCCACTTAAAAATATTTATTTTAACATTCACTTATGTACTTGTTCAGTTGTGTTATCTATTATACTGAAAAAGCAATGGAACATGATAAGATGATGATGCTTACATCATCTTACAGTGTGCAAACATTTGAAAATTAGATGTCCAAGTGATTCGTCTTTACAGGCAGCAGTGTGTTTTGATCAAGTTATTTCCAAAAAATTCAGGAACTTAAAAAAAAATAGTCATTCAAGAAAACCAGCTTCATTCTTGCTTTTGAAAGTCTGTACTTTTTGTAAATTAAAATTTCATTTGTAGAAGGGCAAAAATAATTTCAGTTGTCAGATGTTAGTTTTGTCTTCATACTCAGATGCTACAGATCAGCTGATGCACAGCTGGTGCTTATTGCAGAACAACTTGGTTTTGTGTTGTGAATGTCCATAGAAAGGGGCTAAGGCAGCATATCCAGCCCATATTTTGTACACACCTTTGAGTACTTCATGTTTAGACATATCCCAAGCAATATGTGCAAATATGCCAATATAAAGTTTTTTAGTGTTTTGAACCCTGTTTATCAGGTCTGTAATTTTTTTACCTTTTTTTTTTCCCTAGGGCCAGTTCAGCATTAACTTGGCTGGTACAGGTCTGAGATTATCCAGTACAGTGAGATGGATTGCTCAGGGCAACTATGCCACTGCTGACATACACAAATCCCACGTGAGTCAATGCTGTTGTCCTTCACCTGCTCTTACAGCTTGGACAAGAGGTGCAAGTGTTGGCTGTAGTGAAAGCTGCAGTGATTTTTGTGAATCAGAAGTAGCATTCAAGGTCTCTGACCCATTTAAGTTTTCTTCAACAATGTTTAATCACACTGTCCAGCATCTAAATCAGATCAGCACCCCCTGCCTACCCTTCACTTAACTGATTTTAAGAGGTTATTGTATTAATTGGGTTTATTAGAGGCTTTAAGATGCTTCTAAAAAAATACCCAAACACAATACCTAAGCCTCCATATTTTGTTCAAGATCATCCTACTACAGATTATCCTTTTTTTTTCTTACTCTGATCTTTATTAGCATGGAAAACCAAAAGACCAGTTAAACAAGAACAGTAAGTGTGCCTGGTTTAAGACAACATTGGATGGTAAGCCTGGGAATGGTGGAGAGCTGGGAACAAGGTGTAGAGTGGTAGTAAAGGATAAAGGATCTCTGTTCCTGTTTTGCTAATGCTGCTGTCTCTTGATTTAGTGTTTCCAGGTATGATTTGTCAAAAGGTCTGTTGTGTGCAAACCTCGAGAAGCCTTTTATGCAACTGTGATTTCAATCACTTTTCTTGATTGACTCTTCTCTTTGTCTAATTCCTAGGATGGTACTAAAATATATGGAAGATGTGGAGGATTTTGTGGAAAATGTGTTCCTAACACAATTATTGGTCTCCAACTTCAAGTACAGTGAGAACTCTGATGTACTAGGAGCATCAAAGCAGAGACATTTGCCATTTAGGCTCAAATTGTAGGTGCTCTATATGTGTATATTGTAATTGTTTCATGTCTGTAGTGATCATTACTGTAACGTTCACTAATAAGAATTCCTGTTTTCTTCAGGATTAACTCAAGGTTTTATTATCTGTTTATGGGCTAGCAAGTGCATAAATCACAATCAGAGACCTTCAGGTTTTACAGGAGAAGCATTTATTCAAAGTACAGTATGTACTAACAAGTAAATTGCACTGGGATTACTTCCATGGGTAACACTCTAAATTTTACCATAATTGTAATTCTTTGCCTGTAACTTACCAGTATAATTCTTTATGCAGTATTCAGAAAAATTTATCCTCTACTGATCTTTTATGACAGATTGTGCTAAAATATAGAATCGAAAGTTTTACTGCTATATAAAGAGATGGGTAATTTCAATACTTCCAATTTTATGCAAACTTGTAGGGTTTATCTGTCAATAACTTACAGCTGGAAAGTACATAGCCAAAATGCTTGAGATAGTTTTATAGATCTGTGTGTTTCTCTGTCAGTGAAAGCATTTTTCCTCATCCCTTTCATTATATTCTTTGTGGTGCTCAAATCCTAGCAGAATACTGAGAAGTGTGGTTTAACCTCTGTAGTCTCTATAGCACATGTTAAACATCAGGTCTTAGGTTTACTGTGGTTACAGGAAAAGAAAATATGGAAACAAATTGCTTCAAAACCTGATTTTAAATCGCTGCCTCTCATCCAAGTATACTGTGAAAGCAGTGCATTCTGTTTACCGTGGGATCTTGTGTATAATTGCACAAATATGTATTTGCTTAAACACTTTCCATACCCACCTTACTTCTTTACCCTGGCCAGTGGCACATTAGTAAAGTGCAGTAGTGTGCATCCTTCAAAGCCTGATTCAGCATCATTTTCAATAACCTTAGTGAAAAATCTGAATGGAGGCAACACCCGCTGTGGTTTTGGTGTCCATCTTTGACTCAGTTTGGTTTTTCAATGTCTGTAAATACAGTTCTAACATCTGCTGTTTAAAGAAGAGTTACAAGGTTTAAAAGATGATCTAGCTCTTTGATTTGTTGGTTTGTATTTTCTTACAATCCAGAACTGTAGAAATATATGCATATACAGATAATGTGTTTTAGGGCCAACTCTCAGGTATTCAGAATAAAATTTTCTACCAGCATAATAATGTATATTATTGTACCAGATAATTATAATGTACCAAATAACTATACATGTTTTTTCTGACCATACATATTTTGTAAACCAAATATTTATTTTGCAAGCCAGTATAATTGGTAGATCAAGTGGCAGCTATATTACATTTTTATCCACAAAAGTTAGCCATGAATTAGCAATATTTATTAATTAAAAACAATACTGTACCACAGAAGTGTATCCAGCTTCTTTTAAGATAACACATGTAGGTAATTATTTGTGATCTCTGCATCAGAAATGTATTTTTGCACTATGTGCCTTATAATAGTTGTAAACATTAATAAGACTATAAAACATTATTTTCCAAGAAGTGTTTACATTTGCAATTAAAATCTTGTAATTTATGAAATATTTATATAATAAATATGCTTGTGTGAATGGTACCAGGGTACTTTTGTTTGGGTTCTTTTTGGTATTGTACTCTAAGTACCAAATGTTGCAAAAACATTTCAGCTTCTTTAGGCTGAAATAAGATAATTTGCAGAACAATTGCATTCTTAATGCTCCTCTACAGTGGTATCTATTGACATGTACTGGAATAACTGGAGGTTATAGTTACAGGAATAATTTATATTGAAGCAACTCCTGCTTGAGAGGGAAGAACTCCATGTCTGTCTGCTCTTTCCAGTTATCCTCCCATGATTAGCTATATTTTTGTGGGGGGGTTGCCTTGTAAGTTTTAACTGAAATAATGTAGAAATCTGAAATAGTTTTCATCTCTTTGTGCTATCTCCAGCTTTTATAGCATGGTCCCTTGCCTGCTGCTTTGGCAGAAGGGCAACTGCAGTTTGCCTCTGTCCCCAAGAGGGCTTTTTTCTTTTCAGCTCATCTAAAGGCTACAAAGCGTTCAGCTCTGCTGCCACAAAGTCACTCTGTGAATCCACTGCCAAACAAAGTGACTTTTAATGCAGTATTCAATATATCATGTTTTTCTTGGATAGTAAAATGTATTTTTGAGTAAAAATGTATTTTCTATACTTCTAGGATATCATATGGTCCAACTTTTGCATAGAACAGCACTATATTGTATTGTAGATTTTTGCATCTTTTCTTTATTATACCCTTGATTTAGAGTTTCAGCCTACTGCAGGGAAAAAGTAATCCTTATGTTTTGACATTTTGTGACTTCCCTGTGTAAGATTTTTTTTCTTTTTTTGAGGAAAAAGGGCTCAATCAGTCATCCCAGTTTCAAGTTTCTAACTTTTTGTCCTGAGTGCAATTTAAGAAAGACGTAAGCCTAATGATCAGCTCTGAAGAAACTGGAGATTTGATGATGATTTGATGACATGTTAGGAGGCCATGCAAACAAAAAAGAGGATGATGGGTTGTACTTGCAGTAAGATGTTTCCATATGCTTTAATTGAAATTGCTCTGAATTTCCATCCCACTGGGCAGCCAAGGTGCTTTCCAGAAGGGCAGGGTGCTCCATGGCAGAGCTGTGGGCTCTGCATGTGCTGAGCTGCCCTTGGCTGTCACAGTCACACGGCTCTCCTGCTTGGGGTCATGCTGAGGAATGAAATGCTTAACTGCCCTATCACTATTCCATAGAGAAAAAAAAAATAAATTGTAATAGCTAAAGAGGATTGTAACAATGCTTTGTTAGATGGCTTCTAGGATCTTTTCAATCCCATCAATGGCAGCATTACACATTAGGTGACAGAACTGCACTTGGCTGTGTGTGTGCGCTTAACTTACCTGTCTGTGTACACACACATATTTAATGCTTATCTGAATATTAAGTGCCAAAAAGGGACTAGGTATGAAAAACCTTTTTTCTCACATTTCTCTAACAAAATGTCACTTGATGTGTGACAGTACCTGTGACTTCTCTTGATGAATTCATCTTCTAGATGTCTTCTTCTTGTATTTCCCCAAAGGTTATATGTGGGAGGAGGCAGAGGAGATGGAAACTTTGGCTCTGGGTACACCAAGAGTTGTCTGTTCTAGCAAAATTCTTCCTGGTCTGTTGTGCCACTCTCCCTCTGCAGAGAAGCAGGATGTGCCCAGGTGTTTGATCTGGAACATGGGTGTTGTACAGTCAATCTGACATTCGTGGGCAGAGCTGTGACTGAGTGATTTCAGCACATGCAGGCTTCTGGTGGACAGTCGTGGGTTTTCTTATCTAACTTAAAGGCTGTAATATCCAAGACACACTTGACAAGATGAAGGAAATGTTTGGGGTTTTCTTCCACTTCTGTAACCTGAAATATGTACAGTGTAACTTCTGTGTTTTGTCGGCTGTTTGAAAAGACAGTTCCATGTAGCAGGGAAGGGGCTTTGTGTCTTTGCATTTTTATTGCAGTAAAACATGAGATTCTTGGAAAATTCAGAATATTAATAAAACACTACTATCTTGCAAGCACTTTCTTCAACTTGCAAAGCTTTAAATAAGATTAGGAAGGAGTATGTGGGGTTGTTTTCACAGTTTCCATAAAGAAACAAATAGATATGTGAAAGTTGATGTTCTGCGGCTATCAAAATTGAACTTGAATTATAAGTGGGTCAGAAATATGCTGTAGTATTTTCACTTTAACTTAAAAAATATAAAGGAAAACTATTTACATAAATAACTTTGAAGTAAGATAACTGAATATTTAAATAAGGAACATTAAAATAAGCATCATATATAAACATCACAACTGAGATTTCAAAGTAATCCATGTTGGCAGTTAATCTGTGTTGACAGTAAATCCATGTTGGCCTTATTTATAAATTGAACAATTTCCTACTGCACACCAAAGAAGCCTGTCAAAGCATTCTTCAATAATTAATTTTCATTATATGATAGACTTCCATATTTCTACTTTTGTAGAAATTGAAGCATGAAGTACTAAAGGCTGCACTTAAATGCCTTGAACAGTTACATGGTATCTTCCTTGATGCAGAAAAGTATGAGTGGAGGTCACCATGGCAGAACCAATATGAAAAATGTCCTTTAAAGGCTAGAAAGTGGCAACTCTGGAGGAGTATTTGTATCTATAGACCTTCTTATGGTCTCTCTTGTGTGGCCTGTTTTGTTCTCCTATGGTATTTGACCATCATTTCCTGAACATTTATGATTTTTCAGGATGGTCTCACTAATCATAATCTAATCATTAAAACATGGAGGGAGGCCCTCTCTCTTTCTGGTTTGAAAATAAGCTTTATAGATCATAGAAAAAAATACTGCTTGTAAAGGGCATTCCTATTTCACAGTACTGGCTTTCCTTGAGACAGAGCAGAACCGTGATAGTGGGGGTAAACTACCTGCATTTTGTTCAAATAGAAATACAAGATATCTGACTTGGAGTTGGATCTGACATTTAATATTGCCATCCACAGAAGGTGGTTTGCTTTTGCACAGTTAAGTTTATTTTGCAATACTGTAGGTTGAGAGGATTTTCTGGGCTTTGTTTATCCTAGCTTTAAAGAAGCAATCTGTGCTCTGTTTCTGATAAATTTCTCCTTGTGTTCAGTTATGATAGATATTCCTTTGAGTTGATTGTATAAAAACACTGTAGCACCAGAGCAGAGCAAAGATCTAACTGTATTTATGTCTATATTCTGCCTTTAAACACGAACAGCTGTGCATGCATTCATCTGTCTCATGTCTGACTCTGTGCTGCCATCCAGAACCTTTTCCTTTTCAATAAACAAATGTTTCCCTCTTTAATCTGTGTGTGTGTTTTATCTCTGTTCCTGCAACAAAACTTTCTTGTCCACATATGTTTTTCAAATTTTATTTGCATAATTAAACAAAGCATGCAA